CACACACACACACTGCCTACAAGACTCACCTCACTCCCCGCTTATTCTTGGCACCTCAAACCCCACCACTAGCCGGGCCAATCGGTAGCTTTTGGAACCGGAGGGAGCAGGATTTCACCCGGTTGCCTTGGCAGCAGCCATATTAGTTCTCATCCCCCCACCCCATCCCTTCCCCGTTTACCTCGTTTTTCTCACTCACTCACTCACTCGCACTTCTTAGTGCCTCTTCCCGTCACGACGACTCACCCACGCACGGGCTGGCACATTACCCGGTCTCTGTGTGTGTATATAAATTCGCTCTCTGGAAAAAAACGCGCGAGTCTCAAAACGCGTGGTCATCTTCTCACTTCAAGCTCATTTCGCTTGCGTGAGAATCGTTTGTTAGAACTCTGTTCTATTTCCTCGACGCGAGCCTTGTGCAAGCCATTCTATCAATATGGTACGTCATTTCACGTTTATCACACTGTTATGATATTGGTTGCGTTTGGTCTACGGTGAATGTATCTTTCCCTTTAAAAAGAAGTATGTGCAAATCAAAAGTTCGGTTCAAAATTGTTACTAGATCTTTGGCATAGTTCTATCTATCAATACAACACTGTAGCCAAGAAATAACAAACGGCGGAGAGTGTAGCTTAATTTGTAAGACAGTTGACTACATTGCTGGAGATAAATGTTTACATCTCTACAAAAATTGTTCTCCACCTTTGTGGTTACTGTATGAGATGCGTCCTGCATTGCAGGCGAGGGGGCTCTCGTGGCCTAGAGGTTAAGGTGTTTGCCTCTCATTCAAAGGTCCCGGGTTCGAATCCAGGTAGCGACCAAAATATGTTCTTACCTAAAATTGTCTCCTTTCACCTCCTTTCCTGCTCTCTGGCAATGTTCTGTTGTCTGCTTTCATTTCCACTTTCTGCCCCCACCCCCTCACCTCCTTTGCCCCCTCCTGTGGGCTCCTGACTCTTTCTGTAGCCTTTCTACTGCTACTCCTTGGCTCCTCCTTACTGCTGTCTTTCTGCCACACCCCTGAT